TATAATGGGCTTGCGCCATATGCGGTTCGACGTGCGTACTACATGCGAGCCGCAGAGCTGGACAAGATGTACAAGGAAGCAGGCGAGGAAATTCTGAGAGGCTTGGAGGAGCGCGCCCGGGCGGGCTACGGTGCGACTCGGAGGAGTACCGGCAGCTGGGAAGAAGAGACTGGTGGTGTAGAGGGGCAAGGGGGAGCCAGCCGGGGAGCATTCGGATTGCGGGGCATGTTCAGGGAGCTGCTGGCTGCCATCAGGGGGCGATAGCAAGGTCGAGATGGTATGTGACCTCCCCATCAACGCAGGAGCGGGCATGTTGTCGGTGCGCTGCGTGGAGGCAAACTTGGGCTGGAACGTCTTCGACTTCTCACTGGCTCCGTAGATGCTGGAGCTGTAGCGTTGACTATCACACAGGAACTGTCAGGCATGCATAATATGTATACTTTACTCTATCGCACCGTGGCTTGCACGCGATGGAGGTGCTACGCTGCACGTTGTGCTGCGCCTCGAGCTCGCTGTCAAGTTCGGTGAGCAACTCCCTCGCGCGCGGAGCTTCCATTGATCATCGCCGTCTGCACGCTGCCCGCGGTGGTCTGATGCCGCACGGTTTCGGTGCGTGCTCTGACGGAAGCTTTCGCAGTGCCACGAACCCTCTGATCACTGGCTCGCGCTCGCGAGGCTACCTTCGTCGCGCAAACACGGTGTACAAACAACCTCGGGCCAAGATTCAGTCCTCCTCTCGGTGCGCTACCCTCGCGTCTCCTCCTTCATCGCCCTCGCCGTCCGACGCGAGTAGCGCGACGGCACGGAAGTCGAGCGTGCGAGAGCGCGGGCAGAGACAATAGCGGGGAAGGGACGCGGAGTACAACGCCATTGCCCGATGTGCACGCCTGCAGAGCACGCGTGCGGAGACCAGGGCCGCCTCATGGCTGCCTCGCGCAGGCAAGCGACCCGGCCGGACATCTAATCTACGTATAAAGCCCCCACGGATTTCGCACCTTTTCTCCACCCTTCTCTGTGTCTTCCAGACCAGACATCTCGCCGTCCTCGACGTCGCTCGCCGTCCCCGCCCTCGCGCGCCGACTCATCAAGACCCGAGCCTCGTCGTCCTTGGCCCCCCTACCCCGCACATCGCGCCCCCCTCGTTCGCTCGCTACCAGCAAGTAAAAGCCTTCGCCAGTGATACCACCATGTCATCCTACTCCGATGAGATCGCCGTGCGTATCCCCCTCATGCGCACAGCGTTCCACTCGCTCATCTTATTGTCTGTACCTGTCTTGCCCCGCTCCTTGCATGGACCTCGACTCCCGTATAACGTACACTAGCCTGGAGATATTGTTGCCGTCCAACACGCAACTGGCAAGAGAGAAGGCCTCGTCATAGGCTCTCACGTCGACTATGCCGTACGTCTCCAGCCCCTACGCCCCACTCATAACGTACCGCTGATGTCTTGTCATGCTCTCAGGGCCGGCAGATTGTCGAAGTCCAGCTGGACCCCGGTGAGGTCTACCACGCATGGTGCGTCTCTTCATCTCTTCCCGTCCACACGTAGAGGTGTTCACTCCGCCGACGCAGGTACCCCTCCGTGACGCGCGTCCGTCGTACCGTCTCGTACCTCCCTGCGCCGCAGCGCAAGCGTACCATCGAGCGCACCATCTACTGGTGACCGCACTCTGATCCCTCCTATGTGTTATCTCCGCGCTCGGCATCCAGGGACTGGGAACGACGTGCTCTCTGGAACCCTCTTCGAACACAGTGCTCACTGACGATCAAACTATCGCAATTGTGTACCGACATTCTCCCCGTTCAGGCTATTCCGTTCGCCCTCTTGCGCAGGCAAACAATATGTATGTGTACAGACTTCCCGGATCACCTCCGCGCATGTGCGCGGGAGGTTGTGACATAGCTAGTGACTAGGACGGTACCGTGCGCCAGTGTACGCTCTTCTCTTGTTCTAGGATCGGACGGGTTGCTGCTCTTTTCTTCGCACCCCGCATTTGTATGTAGTTAGATTGGCGTCATTTATCACTTTTCGGAACCGCCCTCTCTGTAAGAACGGCGGAGGACTTTGTATATGTATATTGCCATTCCGGAATCGCATTGACTTGCCGAGACACACTCTTCAGCGAGAAAAGTGGATAGGAACATACAGTGGTGTGTATTCCCGGGAACCTCTGAAGTACGTGAGCAGGACGGAAAGGGGGTCGCGCGACGTCGTGGAGCGGGGGTGAGTAGTAGGATATGCTATAGTGTAAGCCAATAAAAGATACAACAGATGGGAGGTAGGAGATGGAGATAGCCTATGTCTGGGATGGCGTGGATGGAGGGTCCGTCTGTGTCGGGGAGACAGGGTTGCCGTCCGCGTGAGACACCGACCTCCTCGTCTTCCTCAGACGGCCGGACTTGGACGGAGAGGAGGGCGGCAATGCAGGGCGTTGTGAACTGCCCGGGTCCGCGTGGCCGTTCGGATGGTGAGAGTGGTGAGAATGTGCGTGTCCGTTGGGCATGCTGGCGTCGCCGTTCACGGTCTTCTGGCTCGACTGGCTCAACTGAGTAGATTGGCTAGATTGGCTGAGCGTGGAGACCGCGGTGACGGCTGAATTCCCACTCGTTGACCTCAACATAGGCGGAGGCGCAGCGACGCTGGATGTAGACGCCTTTCTCCCTGAGCTGGAGTGGCCGGCGGACGCCCGACGAACAACCCTTGGGTCGACGGAGCGTTCACGCCTGTCTCGCCGCTCGTGTTCTTTCGACGCATCTCCATTGGGCACATGCGGCGAGGAGGCTACCTTCCTACCCACGTCCGTTGTGGAAGCGCGCCCCTCGTCTGGCCGAACCGTCTCCTCTGATCCGCGGGGCGGTGTTGCATACAGCGACCGTGGCTGGTGCACACGCTCGTAATAGAGCATGAACGCCGCGACACCCTCTTGCAACACGTGCTCAATCCCGCATTCCTGCACGGAGTCGTCGCTGATTCGTAGCCAGCCTCGCCCGCTCCCAGGTCGGGCGGAGTCCGGCCACTCGTCATCGCGCACGGGTCCGTACTGCTGACACCGTTGGCAGTCACAGCCAAGAGGACAAGCAAGTCGTGGCGGGGCGTAACGACGGTCGCCGGCGGCTGGTGAACGAGGTTTACGGCGGAAGCAGATGTAGTGCCCGAAGGAATGCTGGCCGTAGTGACACACGACAGCGGAGAGGCGATAGAGCGTACGAGGGACGGCGTACGTGGAGGGAGTGGGTGTGATGGAGCGCTGGATAGGTATGGGAGGAGGGGGCGAGGATATGGGGGCGGATGGTTGGGTGGAAAGCTGACCGGAGGTCGTGTAGGGCGTGAGATCGAGGAGTTCTGGGAACATGATTCTACAGTTGTTTTTCGCGGCGTAGTGGCCGTAGTGCACGGAACGGTTAAGATGGAGGGCGAGAACAGGTGGAGGCTGAATACAGTTAGGCTGAGGACCGATGGGCATAGAGAGCAGGACGTACTCGTGCGATCATCGACTGCTTCGTGGATGCTTTACTCAACACCTTCTCTAGCTTGACCCCCTTGATGTCCTCCTCTATCCGACCCTCGTCCAAGGCTGCCTTCACCCGAGCCAACAACTTTCTGCTGTCCCGTGCCCGCTTCTTCTTCGAAGACGTGGGATCATTGGTCGCTTGAGATGCCTCTGTCAGCCTGTCTGCTTCTTGCTGTAATCGTTGAGATGTCGCAAGCATTGAGCACTTCCGACATATGCAGTCATTGAGTAGCTCTAGCCTCGTGTAGTCGTCGAGGCAGTCCTCAAGTTTGCACGCAGCCTTCTATGACATCAGATCTACTAGGCCAGACGAGACGTCATAGGGACTCACGGCCATTCGAGGTAGGGCAAGCTGCCAATTGTCGAAGGGGAAGTGCATGACTGCCTCCGTGTATCCACACTCTACGCAGCTGCGCCTGTTCGCAGTCAGGCCATCGAAGACGGTTTTGCTCATGTCGCGACTGGCACGATGGTCCTTTTGCGTCAAGCCGCCTAGACCACGGTCTCGCTGCATCTCTTTCGCAACAGCGACAGCTTCACTCTTGATACATTCCGAGAGAAGTTGGAACAACTCCTGAGCGTCTTGGTGTTCTCGCGATGAGAACAGTGAGTTGTGCTTTCCAGTGTCGTGGTTTGAAAGGGCACTGATGATGTCAACGGGGCGAATGCTCCGAGGGGATGAGGATGGTGTATTGAGCACTGCGGCCCCGAATCAGCGGCGCACACGGAATTCTGGGATCTAACTCACTGTGGAGGAGGTCTCGCAAAGAGTCGATGACTGGGGTCGGTACATCCAGAGCTACAGCCGTGCCATGTATCTTCTCTAGTTGCGGTTGCAGGTACGATAGAGAGGCCATGGCCTGCAGAGTGTGAGGGCAAGCAGAGGGGCCGCCACGAGGAGATGGCTCACTTGGACAGTGGAATTCATGAAACAGTAGGTCCCCGAGATATTTACGAGTCCTGGGTAACATCCATCCTCACTTGGACTGTCGTACGAGCTATCTAGGGCCCCGTTCATCGCTGGTTCGCCCAGTGCACACATGCGCTGCGTACCTTGGCTAGAGGTTCGTGCTACTTGATCGTCCCGAGAGCGGGCGTGCTGTTTGCGCTTCAACTTCCTCCTGTCCGAAGAGCCACTTCCATGGGAGGTATTTTCGGACCAGTTCCAAGGTAGTATGGCCGCAAGTGTGTCGAAGACCATCAAGACGTTGGCGGCAACAGTATGCCTGTGCGAGTTTATAACCAGGGCAAGAGTAGGTACCACGAGGATAATGACCAGCGGCGCTATCTGTTGGAAAGCAGGACTGGCAAGTAGAGTATAGAGGTAGTGGGGGAGATCGTCGTACAGCAGCATCTAGCCTGGCTGGTCAAAGCTCTGTACACGACGACATGGATGTCCGAACGAAAGCAAGTCAGTAGAGGGCGAATCGTCAGCAGTCACACCATGGATTATGCGTATATATACCGCGTTTGACACCCCGTAATCATGGCTACCTGGCGCAATGGTAGCGCGTTTGGCTTCGAGCGCCAAACGGCTTACTAAGCTTACTAAGCCGCCTTACGTAAGGCGACCAAAAGGTTGCAGGTTCGAGTCCTGCGGTGGTCATTCTTTTTGTCTCTCCTTCTGATTTTCTGTGGTCTACAGAGCTTCGACGAACGAGGAGAGGCCTTTTTGGCAGATTTTAGAGCCCAAAACTCGAACCAGGACGCGCGGAACAGTGGAAGCGCCCGGGCTTGGGGAGCAAGCGCTGAGAGCGACGCGTCGAGAACGCGTCTGTGGCTGAATGTTCGACTCTTTTGTCGTCGCTGTCTCGCGTCGTCTACAACGTCTCATTGTACTCTGCACGCGTAGCGCGTCGGCAGTTGTCACACATCGACCTATTATCTCTGCTTGTCACTCGGGAGACCTTGTTGTGATCCTGACGGCGTGACTTCTTGTCTGGGCTCATCTTGGTTAAATGGCTGCCACGGCTCTTCTCTCCCGCCATTCCTCAAACCCACTCGAGGTCCCTTCTTCCGACGCGCGTAACATGGCGTATCTTAAGGGGCTCATGCAAGCTGAACGCGGATATTCTGGCCAGGAGCCGTCCTCAGACGACCCTCTCAGCCACCACAACCTACCCAACATGGACGAATACCGGACTCATCTAGCGCAATTGTGTCCCGACTCCAACACACAGTTGTATGCGTACGGACCATTGACTTGTGAGGGAGCGGAAGTGGCAGAGGACGGAGATGAGGACATGCTGGACGAGGAGGGGTCAGGGGACGAGGACATGGCAAATGCCGCGGAGGACACCCAACCAGACGATGAAGAGGACGAACCGGAGGATGATCCGGAGGAAGACGACGACGAGACCGACGAGGAGACAACCATCTACCTGAAGTCGCGCGAGGAGCAGGCGGAAATTGAGGAGGAGATCCTCGACCTCGAGAACGCTGTCCCACAGCTCACCGAGGACTACAAGATCATCGACCGCTTAGGAACCGGTACCTTCTCCGCCGTCTACAAGGCCATAGACCTCGGTTACCACGACAAGTGGGACAATACCGAGTGGCATGGACACCATCCCCAATCCTCCTCCGCCTACTACCAGACCGCCCCGCACCCGTCCCAGAACAAGGTTTTCGTTGCAATCAAGCGCATATATGTCACCAGCGGTCCTGAAAGGATACGAAACGAGATCGCGATTATGGAAGACTGCCGAGGGTGTCGACATGTCTCCCAGCTCATAACTGCGTTCCGACATCAGGACCAGGTCGTCGCTATCATGCCGTTCCACAAGAACGATGACTTCAGGGTACGTTCCTATACCTCTCCATTCAGGATTATCCAGTAGCACATATCGCAAGTCGGGTACGAACATCTACTGCGTGTTCGTACCCGTACTCGCGCGGTGTAAGGCCAGGAGCTTTTCGCCATGTAGCTTGTGGCGAACTCTTTCTCGCCTTCCCACGGAAGACCTTTTCTATGTCCCTTATATGCGTCTCTAGCTGCTCTGCGTCCGCCGCAGTGGCATCTGACCACCATTCCCCCGCACACGGACTTGTCGGCAAGATGTTATGTGCGAACACCGGACTGGACGCATACGTGCACCTCGGCCACAGCACGAGCCCTGGTACCTCACGTTCAAGGTCACAGTCCTCGATACGAACATCTTTCTCGCTAACACGTCCATATATCGTGCTTATTAATCACGCGACTCTTTCGAAGCCCAGACGCATTTACGGATTGCTTGCAGGACTACTATAGATACCTGCCCCTTGAAGGCGTGAAAGCGTACTTCCGGTGCATGTTCCGAGCACTACGCGACATTCACGCGCGAGGTATCATTCACCGTGATGTGAAGCCAGCCAACTTCCTCTTCGACCCTCGTACAGGCATCGGCACCCTGTGTGACTTCGGCCTCGCTTGCGTACGTCACTCGCTATCATACTCTTGTCTCTTGAGATCACTAATACTAACACAATGCATGGATGCTCAGCGTGTCGAAAAGGGCCCGACGCTGGGATCGTGTCTGCACACAACACCAACGCGCCAGAATCCCCATGGACGATTAAAGAGCAGGCCTGAGTTAGACATCGACCACATAAAGAAAATGCAAAAGGAGGCTCGTCTCCGGAGTGCGGGGCCGTCAGAAAAAGTCGGATATCCGGAGAAGGACACACGGTAAGCAGATAAGTTTGCGTTCGTTACGCCAAGCGATCGCTGACATCACGCGTAGACCGCATTCAAAGGCGAACCGTGCCGGAACGAGAGGATTTCGCGCTCCGGAGGTATTGCTGAAGTGTGGCGAACAGACAGGGGGTATGTTGTCGTCTCGGACTCAGCTTCGGCGCAATCTAGGCTCACACTCGTTTTGTAGCGATTGACGTCTGGTCGGCAGGGATGATTCTACTGTTCTTCCTCACCAAGAAATTCCCATTATTCCAGTCAAACGATGACACTGAGGCGCTCATGGAAATCGCAACTATCATTGGGCGGCGACGTATGGAAAAGACCGCAACTCTGCATAGTGGGTAATCCCGGACTTCTTTCCTACCATTTCGCTGACATCGCGTACGTTAGGCCGCGTCTTCCAGTCAAACCTCCCGTCCCTCACGAATGACGGCATCTCCTGGAAGGAATTCGTCGAGCGACAGAACCCTGACGTCCGAGTGCCGCCTCCACCCGAGTACCACTATTACCCCTACACCCTTCCCGAACACCGCGCCCGCATTCGCCAATATCCCGCTTCTTCGTCTTCTCCCGGTCCTTCCTCACAATCTGATAGAACGCCGTCTCCCACCCCTTCAGAAGCGGACAGGTACTCGGCGGAAATAGACGTTGCCCTCGAATTCCTCGAAGAGGCGATGGAACCCGATTCTACCCGCCGCATGACTGCGCGCAAAGCCCTGTACCATTCCTTCCTGCGTGAGCCAGACGCGGAAGAGGATGACGAGTACGTACCTCATCCTTTCGGGGACGGTATCTGCGGAGCGCTGCACGAGGTTGACGGAGCTGACGATCTCTGCATCAAGGTCCGAGTAGAGGGAAGGGACGGTTGGGTGACCCGGAAGGTGCAGGCAGGCGAGGGCATCGCCATTGGGCGACAGCCCTGTGAGTTCCATCAAGGGATAGACTTCAGTGTACTGCAAGTACCGCCATCATAATACTAAATGGAGTACGAGCGATGTTTCCTTGAGCATGTGTGGTGCCTTACTATCATTTGGTGTATGTATGTCATACATAATTAATGCGGGCGCTCCGTCAAGGGCATGCCGTACGCAGTTATCAACAGCTAATCAATAAGGAAATGTCCCTCCTCCCTCTGCCTGGGTCCCTCGGGAGAACCGTGGCTCGCGAAGAGATGTGTTGCAGGCAGGGCAAATTAAACTGTGTTTCTCTCAGCTGAACACCCTGACCTGACCCGTTAAAAGGCGACGCACAAATGTTCCGCGAGGAATAGCCCACAAAATCATTATGGCCCGTTACAGGTCACGAGTCACAATCTCACGCGCCAGTCGGCGCCTTCGCAGATGTACGTCCAAGTCTAGTCCCTGTCCAGTCAGTGCCTCCGGAAGACTTGCAGACTTACCACAGCGTATGATAGCCTATTTTGACATCTTCGGAAAGCCCACCAAGGAGTGCTTGGAGGCACTCAAGGGTGACATATGGCGAATTGAAGGTCGGAAGACCTATACGACGAAAAATCTTCAAAATTGGTTCTCGCGCGCGTGACCGGCGAGTAGTGTGGATGAAGATCCTGTGAGGAGAGAGGAAGGAATATGATTTCAGCGGCTTTTCTGGTGTCTTCCCTGCACGAGCGCCTTTCGAAGCGCGCAGTAGGCGGTTGTTTGGATCCAAGGCTGTTGCCAAACAATGGCCGAAACGGGCCATCTTTGCAGCTTGCGACATTTTCAGAGTTTGAGCTCGGACTGCTTCACAGTCGTCCCCTTCACCGCCCCTGCTTCGCTCTCGTACCGACCCTGGGGCACCCTCGCTGCGGCCGTCTTCCACCATGGGCTCTTCATCATCACCTATCAAACAGAAGCGCACTTCTGCCGCGGGACCCTCCACATCTCCCCTCCCCGCGACTATCGCCGGATTCACTGTGTTACCCATCACATACTCTCAGTCCGCCACGCACATCCTATATGTTCGTTCTCACTCTGCGCCGAAACACAAAAATTCGAAGGGCAAACAGCGGGAAGAACTGCCAGAGGGACGGACGTTATTTGTTGTAAACGTGCCCCCGCATGCGACGGAACGCGAATTGACGGTGCTATTCAAGTCTTGTGGTACCGTGGAGAGGGTGCTGTTTAGCACAGGTGGAGGGAACGGTTCACCGGACGAGCAGGAGGCTGATGGCGCTGAGAGTGAGGATGAGGCTGGGATGATTGACGAGGAGGAGGCCGGAGACGGGGAGGGCTCTGGAAGTGAGACGGATGGAGACAACGGTCCAAGGCCGAAAAAGAAACGCAAGATCGCTCAACCTGACGGTCCACAGGTGGTGCCGCTACCGTCCGTGCCATTACGGATACTACGACGTACTGGTCACACTGCCTATGTCGTCTTCTTGGATGCTTCCTCCCTCGCACGCGCTCTCAAGCCCCCACAAAAGCCATATGTATGGCCCGTTGACACTGAAACACCTCTGGGACTGGCGCACTACTCCACGCTGTACTCGTTCCTGCGACCGCCTTTGGACGTCGTTCGCGCGCATGCCGACTCATGGATGGAAGCATTCGAACACGAGCAGGCCAAGAAGCGACAGGAGAGCAAATACCACAAGGGAGAGGCGATCGTTGACGAGGATGGCTTCACACTAGTGACGCGCGGCGGCGCATACGGCAAGACGCTCGGTGGAGGCGTGGGCGTCGCGAGCAAGCAGTTCGTCAATGAGCACGGCGAGGGGGCCGGTACCGGCGGCGGGAAGCGCCACAGGAAGAAGAAGACAGAGAAGAAAGAGAAGGACGCCTTCTACGCATTCCAGATACATGAGAAGAAACGGAAAGGTGAGTACGCCTTTTTGCCGGCGGTCGCGTTCTCGCGATTCTCGTGCGGCGTGGGTATGGAGGATAGTCCGCTTATCTTCGTTCTTCAGAAATCATCGATCTGAAGAA